CCCAGAACAGCCTCCTGATAGGGGTTCTTCACCCAAAGCTGTCCAGAGAGGCGCTGGACCATAAACACTAGAGAGCCCTGCCAGGGGCCCCTATAAAGACCATGAGTTTCCCATAACCATAACCTTCTTGCCTTTTGGAGTGGATGCTTCCTCGACATAACACATGTAGCTATTTGTAGAAAGGCCTTCTGTGGGATGTGCTCATGAATTTTTCAACTTGGAGATTAAATGTTCCAAGCTTAGTTCACGAAACCCACCTGCTTTCAATCTTTATTCAGTTCAGATTTTCAGACCGAGTTTCCCGTTCTGGGATACTTTAGGGTGCTGTCGGTTCTCCTGGGGCAGTGACTTGAGCCAACAAGTTTCAGAGAACCTGAGCAGCGCCAACAATATGAACGGGATGACTAGCTACACTGCTCTAACGTTTTTAAGTGTAAGTGTCTCTAAAATGCCCTTGCTTTACCAGAGGTGTTTGTGTATCTAAAGATTTTCCGGGTTGAACTGGCTCTGAACTCATGACCTAAATAGACTTCTGCTCTCCTATTAGATTCACGAGGCACATCTCACGAGCGTGTCTTAAAAGCAAGCCCTTGATCTTCGCCATCTCAAAAAACCTCCATTCAGCCCAAATGTCACTCACTTCTTTCCTTGCCAAAATGTGTCTGCTCACAGAGGGCGAAGCCAAAGGACTAAACTACAAGATGCAACTACAACGTCTCCCAAAAAGATTTAAAGGAGTTTAGGTCCTAATGAACCAAAAGTTACACTGTTAGCTCTCTAGCAACAAGCCCTTGGAGGGTTAATGGACCACTTAGGGCTGCGTCCTGACAGCCTCCCTGATCAGAGGAAGGGAGTCCAGAGGGGAACAAGGAAACACTGCAGGTCACCTAGCGGAAAGTGTCTATCACTAGTCCCGAGGAGAAGCCAGGGTCAGCCTCTTCCGGGGGTTTCCAGGCACCGGCCCGCTTATCGACAATAAGGCCAGGATGGCCCTGTAGGAGGACAGGTGGGGTCACGGGGCTGGGCCCAGGTTGTCAGCTTCTGCCCTGCTCCCAGCCCCTTGCCGCTGTGACTCTACAAAACACAACCGCCATCCTGAAGACCGTCCAGGCCTGGCATCACGGGGACTGACCGGGCAAAGCTGGACAGGAAACAGCTCACCGTTTGCCAGGGCTGCCTGTTAAGTTACCACATGCCACGGTGCCCTCTTTTAACCTATAAACCCGTGTCCATTGCATGAGCCGAAAAGGCACGTCTGTCAGTTCCATGATGTCACACGAAGGCAAAGCCTGCTATTTCCTCCTGAAGGCTGTTCCTTGCACTCCTGACACAGTACACATGACACAGACCACAATTCCCCAAGTGCTCCAGGCCACATGCTCCTAAGAAACAAGCAAATGAGTCGGGGAATGAGAAAACTTAGCATACTAAAATGTGCAAAAACCGTTGTACCAGAAAGCAGAAATATGGACAACTCGTAAAATGATATAGCAAGAGTCCAACACAAATCTCCAAAAATGAAATGAGCAGGTTCTGCGTGGCTCAAAACCCACAGCATCACCGGGGAAGCCCTCCCCCACTCAGGGCAGAAGGAGGGCCCGGGAGGTGAGGGCGTGGCCAGGTGGAAAATGCACTGCGCACCTGTCAGAAGGTTCCCGTCCCTACAGCCCAGGCTCTGGATGACAAATGCCCACCCCCTGGTGCCTCAGGAGAGCTGCCTGAGCTGTGGCCCTGCTGCCTGGACAGAGACACTTGGTGGCCCCAGAGCTCGACCAGCTCCCAGGCTCCACTGCCCACACCCTGGAGCGGGGTCCCGTCCTCCCCAGTTAGGTCTTGGAAGCGACTGGTCACCTTGCTTCATAAACCTGGGGCTTATCAGGGGACATTTGTTCCGTACAGAAGGCCACATTTCCAGCCACTGCTTCTGACACGTGTTTGGGGTTTTTTTGTTTTTGTTTTTTTCCACACCACGCAGCTTGCGGATCTTAGTTCCCACACCAGGGATTGAACCCGCGCCCTCAGCAGTGAAAGCACAGAGTCCTAACCACTGGACCGCAGGGAATTCTCTTCTGACACTGTTTAGATTGGGACATATACTTCATTCAACATCCCCTGACCCAGTGACCCATGGACCCCCTTGCTTATAGAGAAGAAACTGGAGTGTCTGATGGAGGTCAGGACCATTAGCTGAGCTAAGCAGAATTTAGTTTTTGATCACTAGAGCTGGGTGAGATGTTGAAGCTATTACATTTTCAAGTAGAATGACTCTCACTTATCAAGTTGTGATAAATATTACCACAAAAAAGCCAAGCTGCATTGTGGGAATTTTGCTTTGGAGATAAGTGTGTGTGTGTTCATTCCATTCAGGAAATACAGTCGTAAATACTTCCTCAGTGCCTCTTCCTTTGAAACTTTTAAAAACAAACAAACGAAAAGACCTATTTTAACGTCCCTACATTTCTTCACAAAGTGAAGTCTACAATAAAAAGTTGGCACTTCATAAAATAAAACTGACATTTAGAAGACTGCCAATTCTAGGACTTTGAAAAGCTATAACCACATGCAGAAAGACTGGGCTGTTGAAAATATTTTACAAATTTCTGAACCTTAGAAGAGCTTTTCTCCAAGATTTATGGGAGAGCAAAACTAGATTTCCTTTCCTAACAGCCATGTTTGAAGTTCTTACGTTATTAAATAAGTACTCTTAAAATTGTTTGAATTCCAAAATATACTTTTGAAAATCAGTAATGGTTTTTATAAGAATAAAATTTCTGCTGTAAATACCTCTTAAAAATCCATTTCTTATGTATTTTATTCTAGATTTAATGGGTTGCCATTTTAAAAGATACCAGACAAGAGGCTCTATTTTGATCATTATACTGTGTTCCTAATTTAATTTTAAATAATCTAAAACAATTCAAAAGAGTGCATTACTACCATATAAACTAGCATTTCAAACTGTGTTATAGGCCATATACACTATCAATATTTTTCAACTAAAATGTATTCCTAAGTACATAAGAAAAATACAAAATGTATTTAGGTGTTGTTATTATGCAACAATGTGCTTTTAAAAAGGAAGTGATATACCAGACCCAATACCAGACATAGAATGAAAAGGCTTGATTGCGTTTGTATTTAGTAGCAGAAAAATTATGTAACTCTAATAAATGCTTACTGATTTTTATAAGCACATGTGAATTAGGTATTGTTTCATCCACATGACCATTTTTTAGTCTGCTTTACTCCAAGAGTAAATTGTAATTCATTAACGTGATGGCTTTCCACTAATAAATTAGTACTTAAATTTTTTTCCCGTGATGAGTTACCCCTGGCAAACACTGCTATAGTCAAGAAGGATGTCTACAAACCGGAGTTCAATCTAAATATTCCTATAGCTTGAGACACATCCCATTTTGAAGCATCGACATACCTGGCAGTTTTCTGTAGCCTGATGTTAATTCAGATGGTGCTGTATTTTAGCTACCTTGACTTTCTGTTATTTCTTAGAAGTAAGAAGCAGGTAGATTCCCCTCCCCAGTACAGTAATAACTGTACATTTGGTGTCTTAGTGTTTACTGTAACCAACCAAGATTCCTGAGAATAATGTGACCAGTTTTACCTTTACTCAAAGGAGGTTTACTTCAAGTGACAAATTTTACTAAAAGTTTAACTGATTTATTAAGTATGACTCTCAACATACAGTTTTTAAAAAAATACTACTTCTCTAGAGCAGGGGTTGGCAGACTTTCTATAAAGAGCCAGATAGTAAATATTTTAGACTTTGCCATATGGTCTCTGTTGCATCTGCTCAACTCTACTCTTGTAGCAGGAAAGCAATCATGGATAGTATGTGAATGAATGTGCATGGCTGTGTTCCTATAAAACTTTATTTATGGACACTGAAATTTGAATTTCATACAATTCTCATGTGTCACAAAAATAGTATTCTTCTTTTGAATTTTTCCAAATATTTAAAAACGTAAAAAACATTCTTAGCTCTCAGGCCCTACAAGAACAGGATTCTTTGGCCCATGGGCTGATTGTACTAGCCATGTGCTCGAACATATGAAAACCAAAGACAGACAAGTTATCAAGGCAGGACGAAGGTATGAAGAAATCCAGTCCTCAGGAGGCTCACCAGCCCTGATCTTGGCATCCACAGCCATCAGCAGTGAATGAAGAAGGCCAGCCAGGCTGGTGCCCACCGGATTCGGAGCAGGATTTTCTTGCTGGGCATGCTTCATCATTCAAGCCACTGCTCCCTGCTGTGGCTCCAAGAGGGACAGAAAGCCACCTTTCCATCCCTCATCTCCCCGGCTTGGAGTCCAGCCACCGAGAGTCCGGCTTCTCTGACTGCTAATGGCCCAGGAATCTAGCAGCTACGATGTGCTTTGCCTACACATCGCGGCTGGAGGCCAAAGGCCGGCTCCGAAGGCTCACCGCCAAGGCCTGCCGATTACGCCGGCATTTCAACTCACCAAGCATCTTATTTTGCCCGGGGAAAGAACGACTTCTACAAAACACTTTTAAGAACACTCTAGCCCATTATGGGAAATCTGGGCCTTTCCACATCAGACAGGAGGGATGAAAGAAGGGAAATTTGAAAATATTGTTTGACCACTTTAAAGTGTAGCAGCATCCGCTGAAGAAGACGGCCGACTGCCAAGGTCTCCCAGACTTCCGGGAGCTGAAATATCAAGTAACAGACGTGCACGTGACCTTTACTTTTCAAAAGGTCATTTGTACGCAAGCGCACGAGTCTCAGCAAACATTTCCCAGATCCCAGGTAAGAGAAAAGGACTGCCAGGCCAAGGCCCCACCTGGTTTTCTCGAGAAACAGGCCGCGGGCTCCCGCGGGCCCGCAGTTCACGCCGTCCCTCGGCGCCAGGCGGCGGGATGCTTCGACCGCTCCCTGAGACCCGAGGGGACGTCCGCAGTTAAAGACAAATCCCAAGGGTTTGCAGCCTCGCTCAGGAGTCAGGAGTCTTTTTCGTGGAGAAAGCCACTGCTCGGAATCTTGAGGATTTCTTTCCATTCGACGCGCGGCGAGAACTCCAGAGGCCAAAGCGACGGGAAAGAGGCCGGGAAGGTAGGGCGCTTCGCCGGGTAGGGCTCCGTGCTTGCTGGCGGGTTCTGTCTGGGGCGCGAGCTTGCGGGGAGCGGCTTCTCTCCGGGAGGATGACGCTCCGCAAAGCGTCGCGGCTGCCTGGGCTCCGCGCGCCGTCGGCCCCTTCCCGCGTCCCTGCGAGCGCTGCGGTGCCGAGAACTGCGGGCTCAGCGCGCGTCGGCAGGGCGCACGTAGCGCAGCGTGTAGTTGGCCCCCGAGTTGTTGTCCCAGTACTCGCCCTGGGCGCAGCGGTAGCAGACGGCGAAGTGGACCGCGACGTCCGGAGCGTCCGCGTCCTCCCCCTCCTTGGGTTGCAGGCCCGGGGGCAGGCACAGCACGAAGTGGAAGCGCTCGGCGCTCGGCTCCTCCTCGGCCTCCCCCGGCCCCCACGACGGCGCCTCTGGCGGCGGAGGCTTCCCTGGCTCGGGCCGCAGCTCAGCCGGCACGTCCAGGAAGGAGCGCCACTCGGTGAAGGTGTAGCGCACGGCCACGACGCGCGGCCCCGGGCAGCCCAGCACCCGGCCGGAGCCGGTCACCTCCGCGCCCCAGGGTGCCGAGCACTGCACGCGCTCCAGGCACACGCGCTGTCGCCGCAGGCGCTCGTCTGCGGCGCTCGGCCCGGGGAGCTCGAAGAGAGGCTGCAGCCGGGGAGGCGGTTCGCGGAGGGGCGCGGCCGCCGCCGCGGCCAGCAAGCCCGGGAGCTGCTCCAGGTCCTCGGCGCGCGCCGGTAGGCTGCGCAGGCGGGAGAGCACGGCGGGCGGCACCTGCGGCTCCTCGGCCACGCCGAAGTGCTTCACGCTGGCCAGGCTCAGCCCCAGCGCGTCCGCGAACTGCACCCGCTTCTGGCACTTGGCGCAGCAGCCCGGACTGTGCGGCGCGTCCTCGGCCCTCTCGCCGCCCTCCGCGCCCGGCCCCGGGGCAGGCGGCCGCCGCCGCTGCAGGAACTTGGCCGCCTGCAGGATCGGGTCGGCGGGCAGAGAGAAGGAGCGCGCGCCGCAGCGGCGGCGGCGGCGGCTTTCCAGCAGCTCCTCCTGCTCCCAGGGGGCAGCCTCTTCCTGCGGGGACGGGCCCTCGGCGTCGGAGCTCGGGGCCGCCGACGTGTCGCCGCCGTCCCCGCCACCCTCAGTGCAGAGGACTCCCGGGGCGGGCGGCTCCTCGGCAGGCGGGGGGTCTTCAAAAGGTGCAGGTCCCGGCGCCTCCAAACTTAGCAGCTGCGGCCCCGGGGGTTCCATGACGCCGTCTGACCCCGAGACTTGTTCTCTGGGGACTTGATGCCTGGGGTGGTGGAAAGAGCGCGCAGCGCCCGCCCCGGCCCGAGCGGAGAAGTCGGCAGGCTCCGGGTTTCAGACGGGGTGCTCAGGCCGGAGCGGGAGGAGGATGCAGGCCGGGCCGAGGCCGGACGCGGCCGCTCGGTGATGCGCCTGCCCGCGGCGCAGGAGGGCCCGGCGCCCGGAGGCGCGGCCGCTGGGCCCGGGCGGGCGGGGTCCGAGGGCTCCGCGGAGATGGGGGACGGCGCGGAAGTCGCGGCTCCCTTTCACCCCCTCCCGCCCAGCGGGCCCACGCCCGCCCTGCCTCCGGAGCTCCGGGGTGAACTCGCGCTCAGCTTCCGTCGTCCTCCAGTCCGCAAAGTTGGCCCCGCGGGTCCCGACGGGCCTGCTCTCTGGAGGGTCGCAGAGGGTCTCCTCCCGGCGGTCGCATCGGCCCAGGAGGTCCCCGGGGCAGACGCACAACTGCGGAAAACTCGCCTGCGGGGACGGTCTCTTCCTTCCTCCCCAAGTTCTGGGCTCTCGGAAGCGGGCCCTGCCCGGCCCGGCGCGGGGGGCACCCCGACCAGTTGTGTGGCGGAGGCGGTGCGGGGACGCGCGGGGCCGGGGCCGGGGGGGGGGGGGGGGGAGGGGTGCCGCCGCCAGCCGAAAGCGACCGGAGGCCATACGCGCGGGGCCCGGGGGCACGTCCCCGCTCCTCCCCTCGTCCCGCCCGCCGCGCTCCGAGCTCGGACCCGAGCAGAGGGGCCCGCCGCTCGCCGCCGGCCTTCCAGGGACGCGAACCCGGGGTGGGGGAGGAGACTGCCCGAAGTGTTTTCTCACTGTTGGTTTTGCTTTGCTTCGTTTCTAGGGCTGACTCCACCTGCCGCTAAGTAGGGGCTTCTCAAGCTCTGGCGCGCGTCAGCGTCATCAGGCGGGGGTGTGCGAGCTCATGGCTGGGCCCTACCCTAGGGCTTCGGCGTCAATAGGCCCGGGATGGGCCCCAAAATATTTCTAGCAAGAACGTCCCCTTGCTGGGATCTTTCGGGCCCGCCCGTGCCCGGTGTGGAATGCCGTGACGGCATCTCAACTTGGGGACTTACAAGAGGCCCCAGATACACCTGGCTTGTCTGCCTGTTGGAACAACATCAAGATTTGGGGAAGAAGATGGCAACTCCCTGGCGGTCCAGTGGTTAGGACTCCGCGCTCTCCCTGCGGAGGTAAGCCGGGAGGTGTGGGGGGAAAAAAAAGATTTGGGAAAGAAGATCACTGTTTTTACATTAACGTAAACATTGACGTATTATGGAGTGAAGTACAAAATTTGCCAACTATCTTAAGGATGAAATAGGACTTCACAGAGACTGTGAGGTTGTGGTGAGCCTCTTGGGCTCCGACCTCATTGCGGCTGGAGCTGCTCCAGGGCGGGGACAGGAGGGAGCCGAACTTACTTAAGGAGGCCCCGCTCTCAGGGCCCTCGGGCCGTGGTCGCAGCCCTGTCCCACTCTTGTTTGGTGGGAACGTCGGAGGTCCCACCCTCGGGGCCCTCTCCATATATCTATCGGAGGAGACCAAGGTTAACCAGAAAGCCACACGGGTACAGAGAGGGTCAGCCCCTGCAGCAGTTGCTAAGAAGGTGGGATCCGACCTGGTCAGGGAGGCCAGGGAGCCTCTGTGAGGGAGGAGACTGGGGGCAGCAGCAAGGCTGCAGGGGGCACCTTTCAGCCCTACAGAGGCCCTGGGGGAAAGGGAGGGGAATGCGCAAGAGTGGCCGCAGGCGGCGCCTCCTTCCAAGATCCTTAAGGCAGCCTCTGACTATTGTAGCCGGCCTGGGGCTGGTACCCACCTTGCTCGCAGGTGTCCCACCCCTCCCCCACGCGGCCGGCCCCCTCCTCCAGAAGAGCTCCTGTCTCATCCGACCCTAGGAGGGGTTCAGGAATGAGCAAGTGACCCAGCCAGTAAGACGGGGGGAGGGGGGGACGTCCAAGGGGAAGCTTCCATCCTTTGCCAAGAGGGGGTGCGACGGTGCTATAGCGCCCACGACAGTCGAGGCCACCTTGCCAACCGTCAGAGGTGATGCGATTCCTGAGCGTGGGAAACACAGGGTCCTTGAGGCGCTCGGGTTTCTCAGTGTGAACGCTACTGGCATTGTGAGCAGGACAGTTCTTTGTTGTGACCGTCCACTGCAAACAGTCTGAGCCCAAACATCCATGAGCCCTACCCTCAGAACGCCACCAGCAGCCCCAGGAATCGCGACAACGGAGAAATCCGTACCCCTGTTTGCAAACACGCCAGCTTGGGGGGTGGCACGGCCCCTCCGTCACTGAGAACCAAGGAGCTTGGTCTTGGACCTCCCACCATGTGAGGTTTTAAAAATAAATAAATAAATACAACCTTCTGGTTCAGTCAGCGTGACTGGGCTTTCTGCTGCTTGCGGACCAGTGTCCTAACAGGAAGGCATTATTATCATAATTTTGAAAGAAAGAGTAAATGGAGCCTCACAGAGGTCAAGGGATGTGCTCTCAACTCACAGGGGATAGAGTGGGATCTGGCTCCAGGTGTAACGCCAGAGCTTGGCTGTTTCCTCCCTGTCTGCTTGCCCTCCAGCCACGTGGAAGTTTCTTTGAACTTTCCTGTTCTGAGTTTTCTCCTTCCCACCAACTTCCCCCAAAAGAACAAAACTGGTTGATTTGTTTGGTTGGGGGGAAAAAGATTGAACGAGCAAAAAAACAAAGGATATTTATGTGGACAAAAACTGATATATACAGAACACATCTCTGTGTATGCCTGGCGTATCTCTGGAAAGATCTTGTTGACAGAGGAATGGCTCTGGGGAGCCGTACCAAGGGACTGGGGGCGAGAGGTGGGAGGGAAACTCGCTTTTCACGGAATTCTTTGTCTCGTGCAGATGTCTTGTGCTCAGCCCTGATGGAGGAATCGTAGCCTGCTGTGACACCACTGTGTACATCTGCTACGTATGCTCCAGACCCCTCACCCGACATCATGTGACTCCATCTGCTTTCACATCCTCCTGTCTAGTCCCCTTCAGATGACATTTTCTGCACAGCTCCCCTAGGAACCCCCTGGGCTGATGTGAGCCGAGGCAGCAGGGCCCCAGGCCTGCCTGAGACAGGGCAGTTCTACCTGGTTTACACACTGGGCTTTGCCAAGCTTTGGTTTGAGCAAAGCATTCCACAGCAGAACCACAATGTCACCATCACCATCCTCACCATCATATTAAAACCAGCACTCTAGAGGACGCTCTTCCCTTGAAAGTACCAGTGCTCTCCTCGTTGCCTGGAGTGTCCTGCCCCCCATCTCCACTTATTGAACTTGCCTGGTCTTTAAGGCAATTTCCAAATGTTTGCCTCCTTTGGGACGTTTTTCTGGAGCAGCCCAGTTAGTAATGATGACTTCTGCTCAGAGGCAGATTTATGATGAAACTACGGAAGCTTAAGTGTTCTCGGGCCCCTTCTGATGTGTTCACGTAGTCATGCAATGAAATAAAATACATATTTTATGGCAAGATAAGAAAAGTTTAAACATGCATTTTTTTCTCTGCTCATGTGGGCCTCCTCGCTACCCCTTAGAGTGTATTTTGCCCCTGCGGTAACCAGACCTCCTTAGGAGATACCATGCCTCTCAATCTTACAGAGTCAGGATGACCCACTACTTGCTTTGTATATGCAGACCAGGATTGTATAAACTGTAAATAATACATCACTTGACGTATAACCGTTTGTCTCAAAAACTTATAGGACTGTGCTTTGACAGTCCTCAGAACTTTCTGAAAGACTGTCTCCCCAATTAAAATCGTCAGGCTGGCTTGAATAAAATTTTCCATTTCTTTATTAGATCAACTAACCGTTTTTTTCCTCAACATAGTTTTTTTCATCGACAATACCATCTTAACAAACAACCATATATATGTAGAGAAGAGACAAGACAAGGAAAGGGGGTTTATAGTTTTAGGAGTGGCAAACCCAGGAAGATAAATATATGAGAGAAACTCATGGAGGATAAGGGTTGTCTAGTAAGGTTTGTTGTGTAGATTCGCCTGGTGCTGTCTCTGGGCTGATAAGAGCCTGGAATCAATGAGTCTATGAGTTCTCTTCCTCCTGGTATGAGGGAGGGAGACAGCTTCGCAAATGGAAATTACATCCAGCTTTTAGCCAGATTCGGGGAGGGCAGAGAGGGGTTTTTTTCTTGATTTTCTCAACGTTGTGTCTTGATTTTCTTCAGCTCAAAATAATCCTTATGCCAAAGCAGTGGCCTGTTCTGATGCCCTCCAGTGTTCGGTGTGATACCTTGTCCTTTAGCATGGGCAGGGCCTAGAGATGCCTTCCTACTCAACAGTGATGGGGTGTCACTTCTGTGATTAGGTCTCTTGGTGGCACTGAAGAAGCCAGCTGCCGTGTTGTGAGATGCTCTGGGGAGGCTCGTGGGGAAAGGAACATTTTGATGGTTATCATGTGAAATAGAATTGATCAGAGCCCTGGGGACTTCCCTGGCGGTCCAGTGGTTGAGACTTCGACTTCTAATGCAGGGGGTGCGGGTTCAATCCCTGGTCGGGGAGCTAAGATCCCAGACGCCTCGCAGCCATAAAACTAAAACATAGAACAGAAGCAATAGGGGCTTCCCGGGTGGCGCAGTGGTTGGGAGTCCGCCTGCCGATGCAGGGGACGCGGGTTCGTGCCCCGGTCCGGGAAGATCCCACATACCGCGGAGCGGCTGGGCCCGTGAGCCATGGCCGCTGAGCCTGCACGTCCAGAGCCTGTGCTCCGCGATGGGAGAGGCCACAGCAGTGAGAAGCCCGCGTACCACAAAAAAAAACAAAAACAAAAACAAAAGCAAAACAGAAGCAACATTGTAACAAATTCAATAAAAACTTTAAAAATGGTCCACATCCAAAAAATATCTAAAAAAAATTAAAAAGTTGATCAGAGTCCTGTGTTCGGGGGCACAAACCTATAATACAACTTTTACAGCTGATATATGAAGGAAACTTGAAGGGGATTTTCCAAAATGTTCCTACAAAAATATAGGGGGAAAACATATGATAGAAGCATTTTAGGCAGTTAAAAAATTATGTTTTCTGGATTTTGTGATGTTTGTGGTATAGGTTAGGTTTTTAATAATTTATACTTCGTTGTTACTTATTTCCTCATTCTAAATATTCATACTTACCTAATTTTTACTTGTGATTTTGTAATCTTTTTCTTAAAGAAGCCTCCCTTCTCCCCCGTCCACAATTATATGTTCCAGCCTCCATATAACCGGGATCTGCCCTTTTTTTTTTTTCCTAGTTCTGTTTTTATTTAAAATTTCAGGGACTTCCCTGGCGGTCCAGTGGTTAGAGCTCCACACTCTCACTGCCGAGGGCCCGGGGTTCAATCCCTGAGCAGGGAACTAAGATTCCACAAGACACACGGCGCAGCCAAGAAAACAAAAATACAATTTAGATGTTTTGTTTCTCATGGATTTTTTTGCACTAATTTGGATTTTTTAAATATTGAATTAAAATATTATTTATCTTGATTGCTGAGGTTTTGGGGCCCTTAAATTTTGTGCCCAAAGCAGGTGCCCATCTTGCCTCACCTGAGTCCTGGCCCTGTTTCTTGGAGGTAGGTGAAGCAAAAGCTGAGATATGTTTTCTTCCTCAGCAGCCCATCCTGACTCCTTGGGTTAAGGTTTTAGTTTTGTTTTGGCCACACTGCGTGGCTTGCAGGATCTCAGTTCCCCGAGGAGGGATTGAACCTGGGCCACAGCAGTGATAGCACTGAATCCTAACCATTAGACCACCAGGGAACTCCTGGCTTAAGGTTTAATTTAATGTGGTCCTGAAAAAAAAAATTTTTTAAGTATATATAGCATATGCCTGTACATGCACAGAGTATATTTGAAAAGTTATTTTAATTAATTAATTAATTAATTTTTGGCTGTTGTGTCTTCGTTGCTGCGCGCAGGCTTTCTCAAGTTGCGGCGAGCGGGGGCTACTCTTCGTTGCTCTGCGCGGGCTTCTTATTGCGGTGGCTTCACTTGTTGCAGAGCACGGGCTCTAGGCGCAGGGGCTTCAGCTGTTGTGGCTCGCGGGCTCTAGAGTGCAGGCTCAGTAATTGTGGCGCACGGGCTCTAGAGCACAGGCTCAGTAGTTGCAGCACACGGGCTTAGTTGCTCCGTGGCATGTGGGATCTTCCCGGACCAGGGCTCGAACCCGTGTCCCCTGCATTGGTAGGCGGATTCTCAACCACTGCACCACCAGGGAAGCCCTGAAAAGTTATTTTAAAAACAGTAATACAGCGTGCTTTGTGGGAGGGCAAAGGAAATGACAGGGAGGAAGCTTGCTTTGGAGACTTGCCTTAGAACGTGTATTTTTAAATTTTTAAGGGAAAAATTTCTTAAGATAAATATTTCTTTTCTTATTACAAAAGCAGTACTTATTCACTATGGGAAAATTAGGCAATACAGATAAAGTAGGAAACAGAAAGCATAACCATTCATAATCCCATCACTCAACAATAATCCTGTTAGTTAATATCTTTTCCTATCTGCCCCGTTTGCTTCTGCAAACCCATAGCATCATTGCCTGCTTCGCTGGGATGCTTCTTACCACTTACTGCTTTGGCTGGTTCTGACTTGTTTCCAAATTTTATCTCCAATTAGCACATCTTTGCTTGCAGAACAGGGACTGTGTCTAACTGGTCTTTGTTACTTTCCAGAGTGTAGAATGGGAGGCTTGGTCGGACCTAAAGACCCAAGAGACAGAATAGCTGAGTTTAAACCTCAGCACCATCATTTCTGCAAGTTATGTGACCTCTCTGAGCTGCAGTCTCCTCATCTGTAAAATGGGACCAGGTGACTGCCCGTGCAGAGGAAAGAGGAAGAACCCTTGCAGAATGCTTTGCACAGAGCCCACCATGCGATGCACAGTAATTGTCTTCCGTTATTACCTGCTAGCACAACGTCTTCATTCATTAATTCACCATGTATTTATTGCACGCCTGCTCTGTGCCACACACTTCTCGGTGCCGGGGACACAACGGTCAACAAAATGCGAGGCTCTGCCTCCCGTGAGCTCACATTTTATAAATTTATTTATTTTATTTATTTATTTTTGGCTGCGCTGGGTCATTGTTGGTGCACGCGGGCTTTTCTCTAGTTGCTGCGAGCTGGAACTACTCTTTGTTGCGGTGCGCAGGCTTCTCATTGTGGTGGCTTCTCTTGTTGTGGAGCATGGTCTCTAGGTGCGCGGGCTTCAGTAGTTGTGGCGCGTGGGCTTGGTAGTTGTGGCTCGCGGCCTCTAGAGCACAGGCGCAGTAGTTGTGGCGCGTGGACTTAGTTGCTCCATGGCATGTGGGATCTCTCCGGACCAGGGCTCGAACCCGTGTCCCCTGCATTGGCAGGCGAATTCTTAACCACTGCACCACCAGGCAAGTCCCATCACATTTTAATGTTGGGATCGGAGACAAACAACACACAAGTACGTGAAATATACATCATCCCTGATAATGATACCTGCTATGCAGTATAAATCTTTGCATGTAGTACTTACTCATTAGACATGTTGGTTGAGTTGATTTCTTTCCCCTACCCTCCCGTCCCACATCTTCTCTCGGTCCCGAGATCCCGTTTCCAATGTGGTTACATAACGTGAGGCCTAAACTCTCGAGACGGACAGTTGCAGACATGGCCCTGGGCGTATGCCTGGAAAGGGCTGCAGCACCCAAGAACGAAGCCCAGAGGTCACAGGACACCCGTACCTGTGACATCGGGAGACGCCAGCAGGTGTCGTGACGTGCATTTTCCTCTGGGTGATCACACTGTTGTGGTCCTAAGTTTGCAGTCCTCGGCGATCGATGGTCATTGTTCTGTGAAGCCAGGACAGTAAACGGCGGACTGCGCACCGCGCAGGGTGAGAGGTCGGGAGGCGCACCGCGCAGGGTGAGAGGTCGGGAGGCGCTGGCTGGACAGCGTGTATGACCCTGTGTGCCTGTCTCCAGGCGTGTCGCCTGGCCTCGTGTTTCTGCTGCAGGAACCGCCACATGTTTACCTTTCCTCTGCTCCCTCCTGACCCTGGCGTCCAGGAGCCCAGCTTGGACCTCCCACTGTGTCAGGGCCAAAAGACAACACCACTGTAGGGCAAACACCTGCTTGTCAATAGCAGAAGACGGAAGGCCCAGGGTCAAAATGTACGAGCCCAAGCCTAAAGCAGATCGGAGTGTGGAGACCTGGGATCCTTTTCAAAGGGAAATATAAAACCTAGGGTGTATCCTTACACTGTGACAATGTCGGGTTCTTGGATTAAATGTGTGAAAGTTAGATTATTCCTGCCATATGCCCATAACCAAGCATTAACATATTCCCATAAATTTTAAACCTTCATACTATATATTAATATTTAATAATTATTGATTCCATTATTATGATGGTTGAAATTCCTCAGCCGTCATAATGGACCTTGGGGAATTGGAACAATAATAAAGGAGAGGTAACTGCACTGGAGCCCAAGGTAGACGGGTGAGTCCCCCAAACCACTGAACGAAGACAAGTAGGTGTGTCATCCAGAGTGAGAGAACTTGGAGCTCGACAGCTAGAGCCCCTGGGTCTCCCCCATGGACCTCTTTGGTCCCAAGGTTGGGACAGAGGGTGGACAGAGGAGGTGGTGGGGAGACTGGGGAGGCCTTGAGCCCCCGCTTTAGGTTCAAGCATGTGCCAGGCTCTCAGTTGCTGGCGGGCTGGGCAGCAGTGTCACTGCGCATCCGGAGCAGGGCATGTGATGTCAAAATATTTTCGTAGCAATATTAAGACATTACTTGCCTTTTGCACTTTGCAGACATCTGCACTGCGCAAAAGCAGTGGTGGGTAAAACCGTGCCAGCATCCTTTAAGAATATCCTAGATAAACCAGTAAAAATCATAAATTTTATTAAATCTCAACACTAGTACCTGACTTTCAATATTCTATGTGACGAAATGGGAAATACGCACAGAGCACTTCTACTACTGACGTGAGATGACCGCCCAGAGGAAGAGCACTTGGGAAATTGTTGTGAGTTGAATCAGCTGCTTTTTTTCATGAAACACCATTTTTTCTTAAAAGAATGACGGAAAAACCACGGACATTCACATTTGGGCACGTAAAAGACATTTTCTCAAAAATCACTGAAGCGAGTCTCTGACTTCAAGGAAAACAACAGAAAGAATGTGTTGCCAATTCTGAAATGTGAACTTTGAAGGAAAAATTGTAATTTGAAATACTTGCATCTAGCACGGGATTGACAGCTTCCCAGCACTTGCAGGCTTCTCTGATGAGATCAGCAGTGAAACAAGTGTGATTTTTAAAAATTTATTTATTTTATTTATTCATTTTTGGCTGTATTGGGTCCTCGTTGCTGCACACGGGCTTTCTCTAGCTGCGGCGAGCGGGGGCTACTCTTCATTGCGGTGCACGGGCTTCTTATAGCAGCGGCTTCTCTTGTTGTGGAGCACGGGCTCTAGGCACGCGGGCTTCAGTAGTTGTGGCATGCGGGCTCAGTAGTTGTGGCTCACGGGCTCTAGGGCTCAGGCTCAGTTGTTGTGGCACACGGGCTTAATTGCTCCGCGGCATGTGGGATCTTCCTGGACCAGGGCTTGAACCCGTGTCCCCTGCATTGGCAGGCGGATTCTTAACCACTGCGCCACCAGGGAAGCCCACAAATGTGATTTTTGATAGTGGCTGATGAAAGATGGTGATGTTTGGAAGATCTGCATTTCTCAGTAAATCAGTATTTTCCAAACAGCCAATGTATGATGTTACAGAATGGTGTGTGGGCCACTGTATATAAAATAGATGAACAACAAGGATCTACTGTAGAGCACAGGGAACTATATTCAATATCTTGTAATAACCTATACTGGAAAAGAATCTGAAAAAGGGGATATATATATATATATATATATATATATATATATGAGTCACTCTGCTGTAACCTTGAAACTAACACAGCATTGTAAATTAACTATACTTCAATTTTTAAAATGGTGAAAAAATGTTTTTTTAATTATCGTTATAGGGCATCTCTGTGCTGGAGATCAACGAGAGGAATAAACTTAAGGTCTTCTCAGGGCTTTTCTGAGCCTGCACCCTTCCTAAGGTATGTGCTGGGACTTTCTAGATTGCTCTGTATATGTGGTTTCTTTCGAACGTTTTAGTCCTTTAATGTCTGACTCCCAAAGGGGAAAAAAACCAGAACGTAAAAACAAGCACCAGTTCTTTAAATTCTCTGGAAGTTGTTTCAGCCGGAGGCTGCAGGGTTTGTAGCAACAACAGTGAAGGCTGCAGCAATGCTGCCCATCTCTGTGTCTGCACCTCTGTGATCAGAGCAGCAATCCGTGACCATAGCACAGATCCCTGTTATTAGAGCACAGGGTCCTTCTTGCCTACCCCAGCTCCTGCAAGCTGCATGCAACCTGTTCTCAGAAATTGTGCTCAGCTGCTTGCCGGGTTAGGGGGGTGGGGGCTGGAGGATACGGAGTGCTACTGTGATAAGAGCTGAAATTGACCAAACTTAACAACTATGAGAAGTGGTCACAGAGTGTGGTTTTCAACCATCAGTTTTTTTCCTTTTTAATTTTATTACTATTTTTTTGTTTAAGAATTTTTTTATTGAGGTAGCAATGGTTTATAACATTATATAGATGTGTCGAAATTTCTTTGTTTAAAAAAATGGTGATAAAATAAAACACATTCAATTTACCATCCTAACCTTTTTAAAGCGTGCGCTTCAGTGGCGTTAAGTACATTCACACTGTTGTGCGACCGTCACCACTAGAACTCTTCATCTTCCCAAACTGAAACTCTTCACTCACTAAACAATAATTCCTCATTCCCCCTGCAACCCAGCCGCTGACAACCACCATTCTCCTTTCTGCATCTGTGAATTTGATGACTCTGTGTACGTCCTGTGAGTGGACCCATATTATGACTGGCTTATGTCACTCAGCATAATATCTTCAAGGTTCATCCCTGCTGCAACTCGTGTCAGAATTTCCTTCCTTGGGCTTCCCCGGTGGCGCAGTGCTTAAGAATCCGCCTGCTAATGCAGGGGACACGGGTTGAAGCCCTGGTCGGGGAAGATCCCACATGCCGTACAGCAACTAAGCCCGTGTGCCACAACTACTGAACCTGCGCTCTAGAGCCCGCGAGCCACAACTGCTGAGCCTGCGTGCTGCAACGACTGAAGCCCACGCGCCTAGAGCCCATGTTCTGCATGCAAGAGAAGCCACTGCAATGAGAAGCCCACGCACAGCAACAAAGAGCAGCCCCCGCTCGCCGCAGCTAGAGAAAAGCCTGCACGCAGCAATGAAGACCCAACGCAGCCAAAAATAAAATAAGTTAAAAGAAGAAAAGAATTTCCTTCCTTTTAAAGGCTGAATAATATTCCATCGTGTGTTTATGCCAAAGTTTGTATATCCATTCATCCACTGATGGACACTAGGGCTGCTTCCACCTTTTGGCTACTGTGAATAACGCTGCTGTGAACATGGGTGTGCAGATCTCTCTCTGAGATCCTGTTTTTGATCCAAGCTACAGAATTCTGAGGTGCTTCATCACACAGCAATAGACAACCAGCACGTTGAGCTGTGATTAGACCTCACCAGCTGAAATGGTGGGAGGATGATGGTTGCTGAAGCAGAGAAGCGCATTGTCTGTGTCAGAGCATGGGGTCCAGCTTTAGAGACTGGTCGCTGACTTGGTGCCACCAGGACGTCCACTTAGGCGGTGGAAGCTCTCACTTCCCTGGCTGTTCGGTAGAGAGGATAAAGCAGGTTACCGAACAGCAGCACTTTATAAAAGGATTCATGACTCGTCAATAAGGAGGAGAGACTACTCTGTCTGTATTCAGGCTGGACCGGCTGCTAACATGTCCCCTCCACCAGGACGATACTAGAGCCAAGTCTGGAAAATCAGAGGTGATTTGGTCAGGCCAGTGCTGGAGAGTTGAGAACCAAGAATTAAATCAATCTTGGATTTCTCTCTTCTTTTTGTGTGTGGGGAGGGGGGCGGGGGGGGGCGGCCAAGGGGCTGCGCTGCACGGCTTGCGGGATCTCAGTTCCCAGACCAAGGATTGAACTTGGGCCATGGCGGTGAAAGCCTGGAATCCTAACCACTAGGCCACCCTGGAACTCCCTCAGCCTTGGATTTCATCACAGACCTGATGGGATGGACTGTCACTGTCAAAGTTCACCAAGGCTGACAAAGGAAAGGAAGGAACCACGGCCACCTTCCTGGAGCAAGTCCAGTGGAGGTCAGCTCCAGGCAGCAGGGTGCACCTGGGGATCCTGCTCTGAGGAGGTGAGCCTCACCCTCTTGACGTTGGTAGTGGGGAATGACAGGTTCCCCAGCTGTTTTTTAAAATAGTGTATTAGGGCTTCCCTGGTGGCGCAGTGGTTGAGAGTCCGCCTGCCGATGCAGGGGACACAGGTTCGTGCCCCGTTCCGGGAAGATCCCACATGCCGCGGAGCGGCTGGGCCCGTGAGCCATGGCCGCTGAGCCTGCGCGTCCGGAGCCTGTGCTCCGCAACGGGAGAGGCCGCAGCAGTGAGAGGCCCGCATACCGCAAAAATAAAAAAATAGTGTATTAATAGAAAATTTGGGTTATACTAAGGCCAACAGATCAGGAGACAATGGCTATTGAAAAGGTGTTTTATAATCACAGCTCCTGAGAGAAGGGCGCGTGCCATGCCATGGGGGGGGTGGGTGGGGCACACGGGGAAGCACCAGGGTTGGTCAGGAGGCAAGCCTCTATTGTGGTTTCCATGACAACAAGCCAGGGACACTTCCCGCCTCCTCAGACCTTCAGGGTTTGGAGCTGCCCCCATGTTGGCTCTGGTTGTAGCCACCTGGGTTGTTTCGTGGCCAAAGGCCCCTGTGAAAGAAATAACAAAATGAGTGAACTTTCCTTCCTCTTGCTGGACACAGTGACCCAGAGGAGGGGGGAATTAAGTCCTTAAACCAGCGTCATTGCTCCTGGTTTGCAAAGAGAAATGCTGGGAATCCCCAGGGAGTGTCTTCAGCAGGCTGGTTGGGGAGGAGTGTATCCTGATCCACGGGAGGGGGGAAGGACGGAGGGGGGCTGAGGGCTGAGGCAGCACCTCTGGGAAGCACGGTAGTACACTTTCCTTCCCAGCAGAGGCCCACAAAGATGAGGCAAGGGAAAAGCACAGTCGCCTGTGTTCACCTCTGGACCTTTCCTCCGGCTCCTGTCACCTCCCACCTCCTGGTTAGATCAGTTCCTGGTCCCTAGGGTCAACTCTGCGCAGAATCCAGGTGCTAAGACAAGAACGTTAGAAACTTACAGAATCCAGAAAGGCTGAGTTGATGGAGTAAACAGACAGAGAGGAGAGGAGGTGGGGCGGGCGGACCCTATGGACTGGCTATCAGGTGGTTGAGCAAAGCAGAGGTAAGGTCTCCGGGGGCTGTGATGAAGGCTGTGGGGTTGAGGGGCAAGAGGGAGATGAAGAAATATAACTTCCTGGGACTTCCCGGCGGTCCAGTGGTTACGACTCCGTGCTCCCACGGCAGGGGGCACAGGTTCCATCCCTGGTCCGGGAACTAAGATCCCGCGTGCAGGCACGACCGAAAAAAAATAAGAAATATAATCTTTTATAGATGTCTTCCTGGGTTTTAAGAAAAAAGAATGTTTCCTCTTTAAATTTCTCTCCAGATTTGCACGGCTTTCAGTCCTACTTTTATGTCAGGCTGTTATTTCCTGGAAGGTGACGCCGTGCCGGGACTGGGCCACGTCGAGGCCCCACGTTTATACGGGTTGCCTTGAATTGAGATGTGTGTTTTCATCAGACATCCAGGGATGACTTTGCCGCTGTCCGATTTTTATAGAAAAGCAGAAAAAGCAGCCCTGGCTTTCATGTTTTGGGGGAGAGAGAAGCCTGGGTGTGGCCCCTAAGGCCCACAGATGCTCTGATTTCATCTCCCTTCCCAAGCGCCCTATTCTGATCTCAGGCTCGGAGGTAAAGTGGGTCTGTTTTCTGAGGGAGCGTCTACGCAATGCCAAACAAACTGGAGGAAAAGTAAACAGTTAACAGACAGCGGTTTGGTCTCCGGATTGCAGGCCACGCAGAGGGGGTGGTTCGGCTCGCGGTCTATGCTTTATTTCACAGTTTTCCCTCCCCTCAACGGTCTTATCCGAGTGACTGTTACAGGTTTAAGCGGGGGACAGGGCTCTGCAACTTTTCTCAGCCAGAGAGGTCTGGGCTTCTTTGTTTTGGAAAGCAGTAATGTCACGCCCAGTGTCACTTACTTCTGGCAAGTGGGACAGCTGATGGATGACTTCAGGACGGGGACCTGAAGCAGGAGAGCGCGAATGGGAAGAAAAACGTGCTGCCGGCGGGCTGCCGCTCTCTGGCGCCTCGGATGGAAAACCTCTGTGGCAAGAGACACCCCCAACCTCCGCCCCCTGCGGCAGTGTAAAGTCCAGAGTAGTGGCTTGCTACTTGTTATTTTTAACTCTGAGGGGACGATTAGGGCCTTGCGAGCTTGTCCCCACAGGCCCCGGTCCGAGCTGCTGACTCAGAAGACAGACACGCTCCCTCCCGGGAGCAGTAACAGGGCTCCTTAATTGGTTTGAAAAATGGCAGCTGGATCCCAACAGCTGCTGCTCTCTGGCTGCGGCGGGGGCGGGAGGAGGACGCCAGCCCCGCTGCAGCCTGCAGAGCCCCGCCTCGGCTTTACCCTCACGCACCGCCTTTCCGTTCCTTCTCCGTGTCGTTCATGTCTGGCGCCCCTCCCGCAACGCGCTTGCCGAGCCTGGTCACGTGACCAGGCCTCTGCTCCTGTGCGCTGACGTTGCTGGAGGCAGCGCTTCCTGCCTGTGCTGCGGGGCTGGAAAGTCTTTAGGGAGAGGTTCCTCTTCTGTCCCTCTGGCCCCAGGCAGCCCTCGTCTGCTCGTACCTCGGATGGAAAACTTGCGTCTTATTTTCTCTCGAGCATTTGTCCGTCTGTCCTTAACTGCTCCCTTTGCTGCCTCTGAGTTCCGAAGTGTGCTGACTGTCCGGCAGGGCTCCCAGGCGTCCTTCTCGGGAAGCAGGGACACTGGAACACACCGGCCCCCCACGGGTGAGAGCAGGTTCCCCAC